TATATAGAATTATATATAATCATATATAATTATATAGAATTATATATAATCATATATAATTATATAGAATTATATATAATCATATATAATTATATAGAATTATATATAATCATATATAATTATATAGAATTATATATAATCATATATAATTATATAGAATTATATATAATCATATATAATTATATAGAATTATATATAATCATATATAATTATATAGAATTATATATAATCATATATAATTATATAGAATTATATATAATCATATATAATTATATAGAATTATATATAATCATATATAATTATATAGAATTATATATAATCATATATAATTATATAGAATTATATATAATCATATATAATTATATAGAATTATATATAATCATATATAATTATATAGAATTATATATAATCATATATAATTATATAGAATTATATATAATCATATATAATTATATAGAATTATATATAATCATATATAATTATATAGAATTATATATAATCATATATAATTATATAGAATTATATATAATCATATATAATTATATAGAATTATATATAATCATATATAATTATATAGAATTATATATAATCATATATAATTATATAGAATTATATATAATCATATATAATTATATAGAATTATATATAATCATATATAATTATATAGAATTATATATAATCATATATAATTATATAGAATTATATATAATCATATATAATTATATAGAATTATATATAATCATATATAATTATATAGAATTATATATAATCATATATAATTATATAGAATTATATATAATCATATATAATTATATAGAATTATATATAATCATATATAATTATATAGAATTATATATAATCATATATAATTATATAGAATTATATATAATCATATATAATTATATAGAATTATATATAATCATATATAATTATATAGAATTATATATAATCATATATAATTATATAGAATTATATATAATCATATATAATTATATAGAATTATATATAATCATATATAATTATATAGAATTATATATAATCATATATAATTATATAGAATTATATATAATCATATATAATTATATAGAATTATATATAATCATATATAATTATATAGAATTATATATAATCATATATAATTATATAGAATTATATATAATCATATATAATTATATAGAATTATATATAATCATATATAATTATATAGAATTATATATAATCATATATAATTATATAGAATTATATATAATCATATATAATTATATAGAATTATATATAATCATATATAATTATATAGAATTATATATAATCATATATAATTATATAGAATTATATATAATCATATATAATTATATAGAATTATATATAATCATATATAATTATATAGAATTATATATAATCATATATAATTATATAGAATTATATATAATCATATATAATTATATAGAATTATATATAATCATATATAATTATATAGAATTATATATAATCATATATAATTATATAGAATTATATATAATCATATATAATTATATAGAATTATATATAATCATATATAATTATATAGAATTATATATAATCATATATAATTATATAGAATTATATATAATCATATATAATTATATAGAATTATATATAATCATATATAATTATATAGAATTATATATAATCATATATAATTATATAGAATTATATATAATCATATATAATTATATAGAATTATATATAATCATATATAATTATATAGAATTATATATAATCATATATAATTATATAGAATTATATATAATCATATATAATTATATAGAATTATATATAATCATATATAATTATATAGAATTATATATAATCATATATAATTATATAGAATTATATATAATCATATATAATTATATAGAATTATATATAATCATATATAATTATATAGAATTATATATAATCATATATAATTATATAGAATTATATATAATCATATATAATTATATAGAATTATATATAATCATATATAATTATATAGAATTATATATAATCATATATAATTATATAGAATTATATATAATCATATATAATTATATAGAATTATATATAATCATATATAATTATATAGAATTATATATAATCATATATAATTATATAGAATTATATATAATCATATATAATTATATAGAATTATATATAATCATATATAATTATATAGAATTATATATAATCATATATAATTATATAGAATTATATATAATCATATATAATTATATAGAATTATATATAATCATATATAATTATATAGAATTATATATAATCATATATAATTATATAGAATTATATATAATCATATATAATTATATAGAATTATATATAATCATATATAATTATATAGAATTATATATAATCATATATAATTATATAGAATTATATATAATCATATATAATTATATAGAATTATATATAATCATATATAATTATATAGAATTATATATAATCATATATAATTATATAGAATTATATATAATCATATATAATTATATAGAATTATATATAATCATATATAATTATATAGAATTATATATAATCATATATAATTATATAGAATTATATATAATCATATATAATTATATAGAATTATATATAATCATATATAATTATATAGAATTATATATAATCATATATAATTATATAGAATTATATATAATCATATATAATTATATAGAATTATATATAATCATATATAATTATATAGAATTATATATAATCATATATAATTATATAGAATTATATATAATCATATATAATTATATAGAATTATATATAATCATATATAATTATATAGAATTATATATAATCATATATAATTATATAGAATTATATATAATCATATATAATTATATAGAATTATATATAATCATATATAATTATATAGAATTATATATAATCATATATAATTATATTATTATTCCGCCTTAATAATATTAATTGAATAATTATTATCATTATTAGTAGCCAGAGATATGTAACTTTTATATATTAAGAAAATCTATGTATTTTATATGAATCATTGTAAAATGGTGAAAGACGGCTAGACGGGAGGGAGTGTTGGAAGTAACGCCTAACCGTCTTACCCCATGAGTAGTGGGGAGGTCATGTGATGTCATGATCCCTGCTTGAGATGTGATTTGAGAACTGTACCACCACTTACTTCCGATTGAGTTTTGGTAACGTGCGGATGCACATATTAATAAATACTCTTAACTATTAATTGGTATTGTTTATTTAAAAGGCCCTACCTAATTCTAACAATAATCATATATAACTAATTTATATATAAATATATATAATTATATATAAATATTTTTTCTCGGGTATAGCTAAATTTTTACTATAATAAAACCTATTTGATTGTTTTTAACATTTTTCTTCGATCATTTTTGCATTTTTTATTTTTAAAACTTTTTTTTAGCGCGAAGTGTCTAATTTCACGATCTGTCTACGACATATATAGATTTAAGTAGATAATATATCTGTAGTACAATTGTGATCTACGTACATCTAACTCGCAATTTTTCCGGTCCACATTGATCTGCATAGATGAATGTAGATCAAAAAATTTTTTTTCGGTTTGTTTAGAAAAAACTTAAAATTCCTAATTTTAAGATGAATATTATTTATTACATCAATTTTTTAGTGTTGGCGTCATGAAGACTGTTGTAGCCAATGGTGTGCGCATTCTTGGATGGGACGTCATTGCAGTTTTCCTACTAAATAAAATTATTTAACAAATAAATTATGAAGTAAAAATCTTTTAAATCAGACGAATTATTGATGTGTTTAGAACTGTTTCATTAGCTATAAAAACAATGAAATTGTTGATTATTTAATGAACAAATATATTAATCTTAATTATTTTTGCAACAGAGAAAAGATTCTGCATTCTCTTTTTAATACTGAGTAGTGATGTGAAGCAAAGCATAAACTCGTCAATTGCTCGTCATTTGACGTCAATTGACCAACTAAAAAAAATGACCGCCGGTCATTTTTCGAATTAAATGGCGATTTAATTTAAAAGCTAAAATAAAAAAATTTTAAAACTAAAAACCAAAAAATGACCGAAAAATTTTTCACGGACATTTTCCACTAAGTAGTTGAGCAAGCCAGATTTGTTTACTACCGTCAGAATTTTTAGATAAATTTTGTGTTCGTATTAATAGACATAGTGATTGTTTTTAACAATTAATCTGTAGAATCAATTACAGCAAACAAATTTCACCGGATTCTCAAGTCTAAAAAATTGACCAAAAAATGACCGAAAAATTTTTGACGGTCATTTTCCATCTAAGTAGTTGAGTAAGGCAAATTTGTTTATTACCGTCAGAATTTTTAGATAAATTTCGTTTTAAATATTTAAAATATTGAGGTTGCATATGAAATAGATTGGTTTGATTTTTTTTTTGAGAAATTTTATTAAAAAGAAAAAAAATGCTCGTGAATTTTTGTGACTGACCAAAAAAAATGACGTCAATTGACGAGCATTTGCTCGTCAATTGCTCGTGACTAGACCAAAGTTGAAAATGACCCTCATTTCGCATCACTAATACTAAGGAATATTCTAGTACACGGAAAAAAATAAATTGTTGCTGCAACAGGAGGCAGTCATGTTGCAGCAACAGGATTTTCCTGCAGCTGCAACAGGATAAAGTCCTGATTAAAAAAAAAAATTTAGGTAATGAAAAGAAAAAACATAGAATACTTCGCATAATTAAAAGTACAAATTCGGAGCATGTGATAGTAATTAATTAAAAACTACCAAAAATTATCTCCAATGCAATGTTACATCGGTAAATCTACTACGATCACATGCAATTGTTGGTCGAGGCGAAGCCGAAGTCGACAAACATGTGATCTGAGGCTTCCTTATTTAATGCCCAAGGTAAGTGTATACTATTTTTCTGCTCGACGGAGGCGGAAAGCGGCAACTTAGCGCAGTAGGACAAAAGTTGACACTTTACGCCCGGAGGGGAGAAAATGCATAACTATCTTCTCTGATTTAAAATCCAGTTACATATTTATAAATTTATTAATCATTTTTAGTGACAAAACGTTAAATCAATGATACTACTCTTAATATAAACATAAAAACTTAAATTTTAGAAAATTGTAAATAAATTCCATTTTTTGGAGCCAGCAAAAAACTTCGAGGATTTACTTCATAAGGTATTTCTGTTTTTTTACACACGTCTACTTTGAAATGCTGGAGAATTTTAATGAGACCAACTTTAGTTTGATGATTCGCAAATCTCGCACCTGAAAAATTTATTTGATTATATAAAGGTAGATTTTGAACTAAAAATCTGGCAAGTGTAAACGATAATTACCAATACAATTCCGCGGTCCGTCGCCAAAAGCGAGAAAACTCATAGGATGTCTCTTTGCAACTTCGTCATCAGAAAATCTTTCAGGATCGAACCGCTCAGGATCTCTGTAAATCGCTGGATCGCGATGAATCGCCATCACGGGAATCATTACTCTTATGTCCTTTCTTATTGTGACATTCGTATTACTAAACGTGTAGTTCGCGTCTGCACGTCTTACCAAGAATGTTGCTGGTGGATATTTTCTCAATGTTTCTGGAATCAAATTTCTATCATTTCTATTTAAGCCATCAGCAGAAACGAAGAGATCAAAAACTTTTTCAGAACCCAAGAAAAGAAGTTTATGGTGTGGTCGGACTCCCGGTTTCCCGGTCCGGGTGCCTCACCATCATTTTTTTTTTTTAACCGGAAAAATTCAAATAAAAAATTAAACGTTATAAAATGAGACAAATACACACAATTACACAGCTGAAACCATCAGAATTTAAACTTGGAAACTAAGCTTCATGAATAAATGGATCGAATTATTTTTGATCTATTTCTTAAGGAGTTACATGGGTTTCACAGTTTCAAAAAATCGATTTTTTTTTGCCTTATTAAATTATACAACATCTCTAGAATATTGTCCTAAAATTTCAAATCGATCCGAATAATAGTTTCGGAGATACAGTTTTAAAAAGTTGCCCGCTCAAGGCGCTGTTGTATTATCACTCAAAACTTAAACGCGTTTTTCTCAAAACTATGTTTTCAAAGACGGTACCCAAGATTTTTCGAGAACTACTCAACCGATCTTGATCAAATTTTAGACAGGTCTTCGAAATATAATTTATGAGGTTTCGGACTGTTACGTTCTCGTAAATTTTAAAATTTAATTTAATTTTTATAAATTTATATTTTAATAAATTAATCGTTACTCGAGGTATCTCGTAACGGAAATACCTCGAGATAACAGATTTACAGATTTCTAGAATGCCAACGCAGCCCAGTAGACTAAACAGTCTACGTTGTGGGATTTGGACTGCGTTGATGTTCTCATAGAGTAACCTCAGATGCAACGTCGCTAAAATTTTATTCTATAAACTCTTTGTAATTATTATTCGATACACATTCTGTCTCCGGAGTTCTTCTGGAACAGTCAGTCCGAGGACTTAGCAGAGGAGCAATCTCTGCTGGTCCGAGGCTGAACCTGCCTATCCCTTATTAATAAATCTATATTTAATTGTCAATCGATTAATACGGATATTAATTAAAACCTTAGCCCCCAGGGTGTGAGCGCTTCTTAGCTGTTATCACCCTGGTGAAATCGCCCAAAGCGCTAGCCAGCGTAGAGGCACTCCATCCATCACCTATCTGAGGGCAGGTAAATTGAAAGTATTATTAAAAAATTATAAATTTAAATTTAAAAAGTAACTTCGCGGATAAATCAGTGACACGGCCCACCTGGAGTCTATTGACATCCTAATGAGGTCAAAACTTGGACTTAAATAATTTTTAATTAAATAACCCAAAATTTGCGAACGTAACATGGACGAAGGATTTTTTTTTTTTCAATCACAACTATTTAAAAAAAAAATTCCGCGAAATTTTAGCCAAATTTTTAATTTTTTTATAAAAATCTCTGCGAAAAATCCAATTTTTATTTTTTTTTTCTTTCGTTAAAGACCTAGTTTGAAGTCTTAACTAAAGCACATATTTTTTTTTTTTTCACTTCTGATGATCCTGCTATAGGAGTTCTGCTGATCACGCGGATGCATCTTTTTTCCGAGGGCTCACTGGAAATGACGTCACACACACATTAGCAGAGTTTTTAATATTTTTAACTTCTTGCTAAGAAAATCGAAGATTTTCGGAAATTGGGAAGTTACAATCGGGTTTTCATCAAATCTCGACGTTTTGAGGTCCTAGGAAGCTTCCCTGACTATTCCCGAGACGGTGTGTGTGTGTGTGTGTGTGTGTGTGTGTGTGTGTGTGTGTGTGTGTGTGTGGTGGTGGGT